GCTGAATTCGGGACAGGTGGCAACCATACACCATGCTGGTCTATGGAGAATCGGATGTAAATGGACATGTGATTACCCCCAATGCGGCAGATCAGCTCCAGCGAAACACCGTTCCATTTGTCTGGAGCTGGCCGGATATAAACGGGCACCCGTCCATTTAGATCCGGCTGCCCATAGACTAACATTGGGCATCCGAGCGGGTCTGCCTGAAAAACTGACAAGCACTCACAAGGTGGGTGCTGAGGGTGCGGCCCGCACCCGAGTGACACCATTGGAGGGGTGACACCAAGATGACTTACAGTCATTTTGGTGTCACCCCCTCTGAAAAGTTGGGCACTCGGTCATGGACCAAGAGCCCGACAGTTGCAGGAGAGAGAGGAGGGGACCCGGCAGCATACCTCGGGATGCCCCTGCTGATCGGACTGCCCGTCCGAAAGGGGCTTTGTGTTAAAACATGTTTTGCCTGAGGAAGGGGATCCTGGGAGACCCCGAAACGTTGCACCAGTGTGATATGCTGCATTTACGTCAATAAATAGACGCATTTGATCTGCATCTGGAGTGCCGGTGTCCCTACTTCTATTTGTGTTAATATTATGCGACAGGAAAAATTGCAGCTGCCACAATTTTATTCTACAGGGTCTATGCTTTCAAGAAATATATAATTACGGGGGAGAGGGGTTGATAATTCTAAAGGCCTGAAGTATACATTTTAACGTGTGCAAAAAAACATAAAAAGTATCTGGCAGCGAAAGTGTCAAAGCCCCACCAAAGCCGATCCTTTTTTATTTTAGGTTCGGCTGGAGTAGAGAATGGTGAAACCTCTATTTCTGGCATTAATGCTGCACAGATGCCGCAATCCTTCCTAATAGTTTTGACTTCCCGACCGCGACATATTTTGGTGTGTAAGGGAACATGAACAGGTTGGAGGCACATTAGGAGATAAAAGTGAAGGTGGAAAGTCAGCGGAGATTGAAGAAAAAGAGTGGGAAGACGGGAGATAAAGAACATAAAGGCAGCCTGTGTAAGAGATGAGTGGGAGTTACGGGGGATAAACACAAGTAGAAGGTAGACTGCGGAATACAATGTAGCAGAATATTCACAAGGGGAGATGATGCCTGTACAAAACCTGCACTGGGAGAATTAAAGTGGACCTGAACTCAAAAAGTGAAGTGCTATGTTATAAGGAATATCTTTAAAAAGATAGCAGAGGGTTTCCTGTGCCTTGAACTTCATAGCTGTATATCTACAGGATGACATCTAAGGTAGCATCTAGTCTCAAGGTGGCCATACACTCTACAACCATCGCAAGACTTTAGTCTTGCGATGGTTGTAAGGTACTTAAAAAAACGTACGATCTGCCTATGTTGCATAGGCAGATCGTACTTGCGATGATCGCAAGCCACGCCCCCTGAGGGGCGGGCTTCCGATGACCGCAATGCTGAACGGGCAGTGTGCGCTTGCGCACACCGGCCCGTTCAGCATTTATCTTCCGAGCACCGTTCTAACCAGCCGAGAATCGTACGATTCCCGGCTGGTTTTCGAACATGCTGGTTCGACAGAAGACGTGCGACCGTACAGTAGAAACGGTCGCACGTCTCCGTTCACACTGCTCGATTATCGTACGATAATCGTATGCGATCGGGTTTTCGTACGATAATCGAGCAGTGTGAACGGAGACGTGCGACCGTTTCTACTGTACGGTCGCACGTCTTCTGTCGAACCAGCATGTTCGAAAACCAGCCGGGAATCGTACGATTCTCGGCTGGTTAGAACGGTGCTCGGAAGATAAATGCTGAACGGGCCGGTGTGCGCAAGCGCACACTGCCCGTTCAGCATTGCGGTCATCGGAAGCCCGCCCCTCAGGGGGGCGGGCTTGCGATGATCGAGAGGGCGATCTGCCTGTCCAAGATAGGCAGATCGTACGGTTTTTTAATCCCTGTACAACCATCGCAAGACTAAAGTCTTGCGATGGTTGTAAGGTACTTAAAAAAACGTACGATCTGCCTATGTTGCATAGGCAGATCGTACTTGCGATGATCGCAAGCCACGCCCCCTGAGGGGCGGGCTTCCGATGACCGCAATGCTGAACGGGCAGTGTGCGCTTGCGCACACCGGCCCGTTCAGCATTTATCTTCCGAGCACCGTTCTAACCAGCCGAGAATCGTACGATTCCCGGCTGGTTTTCGAACATGCTGGTTCGACAGAAGACGTGCGACCGTACAGTAGAAACGGTCGCACGTCTCCGTTCACACTGCTCGATTATCGTACGATAATCGTAAGGTGTGTAGGGACCCTCAGATCTGTGTTCCTCCACCTCTCCTGCTGCTTCATGATCATTACCCTAGGTCCCTACCAGTCATCAGATCACCAGTCATTGAGGGGCCGCTCTTCCATGAAGAACCATGGCCCTACTATTTAATCAAGGTGGCTGACTCCACAGTATAGAACAAGACATGCTAGTTCAGTAATGGGGAAAAGACTCGCTGCAGGGATCTGTTGCTATGCAAATCCAGCGGCCGCAATCACTGAGCCGAAAAAAAAGCATTCCGATCAAGAGTTTGGACAATTCTTGCTGCACACTTGTACTCAGCATCTCGCAAATTATTTAGTATGTAGGCATAACACTCAATGAACATTTTCAGGATAGCAGCATTTCTCATGGAGAAGGATCCTTTTCAGTTCATTCACGTTGTTCCTGCTCCCTTGCCTTACTGCTGTGCAGTATTTCATGCATTAACATACGTCGCGGTAAGGGAGGCTAGCACAACACAACGTTGGTTATAAGGTTCTTTTTTCATGCAGCAAACCATAATGTACACATGGATCACACCCACTCAATGTGGTGCAGTGTTAACTATTCTGAATGGCACCCCAACAGACTTAGCCATCACCCAACAGCATAGTTGCCATCACCCAACCATACACATGGTTTGTAGCTATGCTGTTGGGTGCTGGTTAAGTGTGTTGGGGAGCCTTTCAAAATGGTTGACACAACAGGTGCGTTAACATGCATTGCAGTAAAATAAAACGCTCAAACCCCACAATATTGCAGCACACCAGTATCAATGGGTTTTTAAGGACTCTTCTAAAAGATAGATTATCACTTAGTGGAATGCATATGAAAAAAACAGTGCAGTAAGCAAAGAGTTGGTTAGCAAGAAGCGTCTCATATTTCAGTTTTAACTGGACACTGGTGGGTTATTACAGCCTTTGGTACCCCTAGTGATAAGATTTCCGCCTCCCCTCCCATTGAAGGTGTCACTGTCTTATTCAGCACTCAGGACAACCCATGGGAGGTGCGTGACCCCACTTAGTAGCCTTTTAATGGCTGTAGTGTTCATGCACTGGAGTCACCAAGAGAAATAATGTAACAGCATGTGATCCGTCTTCTTTAAAACCACACAAATCTGAAATACAAAATTTCAAGTGAAGTCACACTTAGAACACATGATACTAAGCAATTAAACTCCCAAGTGTAGATGAGCTTTGAAGGACTGTAATTCTAGGGCAGCAAAGTATAAAAATACACCCAGTAATATAAAGGTGAAGTATTCATGATTGGTTGCTATGGGGCAACATAGATACTTTAACAAGGTAGAGCAAAGAGCAGTAGCCATGAGCGAAATGTAGTTATCTATAGAGACCAACTACTCTTAACCACAGCTAAGAACTGTTTGGATCTAAAATAATGGAACATTCCACATAATGGAACTCAAGGGGCTTTGGGGATTTGCTGACACACTATATGGGCATCACACCTATATGAGTTTGTTGGAAATCCCATTCCAAAACCATGGACATTAATATTGAACTGGGAAGGCTTTTCACAAGATTTTGGAGTGTGTCTGTGGGAATCTGTGCCCATTCAGGGAAAAGAACATTTGTGAGGTCAGGTACTGATCTTGGATAAGAAGACCTGGCTCAATTTATCCCAAAGGTGTTCAGTAGGGTTAAGGTCAGGGCTCTCTGAAGGCCACTCAAGTTTCGAGACACCAAACTCATCAAACCACGTCTTTATGGAGCTGGCTATGCACACAGGGGCACAGTCATGCTGGAACAGATAAGGGCCTTCACCAAATGTTCCTACAAGGTGGGATGTGCACAATTGTCTAAAATGTCTTTGTATGTTGTTGCATTAACAGTACCCTTCAATGGAGACAGCTGAACTTAGTCATTGGAGGGGGGGGGCCACAAACCCTTGACAATAGAGGTAGATGTGATGGTCAGATGTCCACAAACGTTTGGCCATATGAGGTGTATATGTATAGATTAGATACACAAGTCATTTTGTAACAAAAACATTATTTATAAATTACCTTTCTTTTTCGTTCTAAAACTTGCTAAACTTTTTAAGGGCTCGTTCACTGCACGTCTGCATTTTTATGCTGGGCACAGTGCATTACAGTGCATGGCAGCCTGTCACAATGCGCTGTTGTGCGAAGATTTGAATAAAGTAAGTGTTTTTAAACAACACATACCAGTGGGTCATAAAACTGACATAAAATTAATTTGTTGTTTCCTTCCAGCCACTGAAGGTCATGGTGTTCAATATTCTAGTGTCTACAGAAGCCGACCTGGAAATCTAGAGTCGAGCTTCACTTTAAGTAAAACTATCATAAGAGAAGCATGAAAACTAAAATTGTAGACATTACCTTCTAAAAATGTTAGCTGCCTGGTTGACCCTCTGAGCTTCAGTAGTTTGAGTCAGTTACCTGGATCAAGCATGCGGATAAGGATTTTTGACTTGGATTATGACCTTTTTTGGTTCGGTAATTTAGACAGCATTGAAGCAGGAGGGTAGGCATAACAGCAGGCAACTGGCATTTTCAGTAGAGATCAGCAAGGGCAACACATATATTTCTCTCATGACAGGTTTGCTTTAATTAATCCTGATAAACTGTCCATAAGCAGAGCAGAAAAAGTAGAAGAAGGAGAATTTGGAATAAAAAAAACCCACACAGATATGATATCATAGAGCATCCCCATTCCCGCTGTCTCACCAGTATGGGTAGACCTGTCAGAGCATCGTACAGCAGCACAATCCCCCCGACCAGACCGGTGACCTGTGCTGCGGTCCTTGGCGATTCTGACCCATCCAAAGATGAGCGTCTTTTTCCCTGAGCATCTTGCACCACGATGGCTGGGACTTCCAGCATTCCCTCTGCTCCAGCTTCGCCTGTTCCTCCCCTCTGCCCTGAGGCAGGGCAGCAGCAAGCATGGTACAAAGTCACACCTAAACACCCGAGTCCAGTGCCCACCCCTCCCAGCAACAGCAACTGGAAGCACAGCCCGAAGCCCAGGCCGATCCGGCTGGCCAAGAAGTGGCAACCGCGGGTGTAGAATCTGCGGGCGTTGTCGTGCCACCCAATGGATGGCAAGGTGGACAGTACAAAGGAAGCCGCCCAAATCCCCAGTGCCCCTTGAAGGGCTTGTCTCCGTGCACCCCCCAGCCTGTAACTGACGGGCCACCGCACCATCCACATCCGGTGGTAAGATAGGCAAGCCACAGTCAGGCACGTGGAAAGTGCTAGAGTGTAATACGTAGACACAAACACCTTGCACAAACCCTCATTCCACTCATAACCCGGTGAATGTCTTCGTCTGAGTTGCACCACTGAAAACAGAGAGAGGGGCACAGCTGCCATGAGTAAGTGTGTTCCTGCCAGCAAGCAGAGGAGCAGTTCCAGAGGACGGGGGCGCTGGCCACTCCCTCCACGGCTGGCCAGACTCAGGATGCTCCAGGCATTGGCAAGCAGCGAGAGGGCACCACAGGCCAGCCAAGATACAGAGTTGTTCTGATATAGCTCATCGGCCTCATCCTGGTCAGGGGCCCGTGGCATCTTCTGATTGTCACTTGTGACTCCGTAATGTTGATTTTTTTTTTAATGTTGTTTCACTACTTGACTTTTGTTGTTTCTTATTTCTAGTGTGCAGCCTTCTGCTCCACTCTGATACCTTCTGAAGCTAGAGTCTGTGTCTGGCTTCTTTTCCTTTATGTCTCGTTAAAGCTCTCTCCTTCTCTTCTCACTCATGTAGACTGTCCCTGACAGTCGTTATTTGCACAATGCACTACTTGCAGATGCCAACACCAAAAACTTTCATAAGACCCACCATCCGAGGTCCCTGACTTTAGCTTCTCTCCACTTTCCTCACTCTGATGATTAGCACCCACATCCTATATTCCATTTGATACCCATACCCTTCCTTTCTTCTAATCAAGAATCTTTTGTTAAACCTTCTCACTGGTTGGGTGTTGCAAAACACCTTGCTTAGCCTCACACTCTCTTACCCCTGCGTCTTTTTTCTTTGGTTATGTGTTTTTTCCATGCAGTGTGTACTTACTGTGAAGCACAGTAGACTGCTGTCCAAAAGTACTTCTCCCTACACTATGGCTAAAGTATTTTAGCGCGCACGATATAGTCTAGTCTAGTGTACTTCTGACACTTTGTTTCAGGGTACTGTTTTCTACACCTTGACAAAATGCAACTTCCTACACTGTTTCTATAACTTGACCGATGCTTCTGTTCTATAAACCTTGTCTATGGATACTGTATCCTACCCTTTGACCGTGGATACTGCTCTTTTTGACTAAAAATACTATAGTCTACACTGCCCTTATAGCCTGAATAAGGATAGTACAGTACTTCCTCCACCTTATCTACAGTTACAACTCCCAACACCTTGACTGAGGATACTGCTTCCTACAATCTCCGTCCTTTGACTAAGGATTTTACTCCCTACACCTTGTCTAGAGGTACCACTCCCTACAGCTTGCTTCTTACAATCTTCTTACAATCTCCCTATGCTTTGGCTGACAGTGGTAAAACTTACAAGCCCCCTATAGCTTGACTGCAGATACTACCTCCTAAGCTTCTCCCTACACTCTCAATACACCTCTTCAAAGGACACTTTTCCTCACACCATTCCTACTTCTTGCAGGACACAGCTATTAACACTACGATCTACACCAATTTCTCTCAGACTTTTTTTTTCCTTTCTACACACCGTTTCCTATCACATCCCTTCTCGTATTTCTACTGATATCCACCAAGCTTTCCACTCACTTTCTCTGACAGTTGAATGTTAGTCCAAAGATACGTTCAAAATCCATCATTGGGAAGCCAATGCAAGTGTTTACAACTTCCGTTTCAGTGCAAAACTTTTCACTCTACAGTTTTCAAGGTTTTTGTTTTTTAATTGTTGGGTGTCTTTTCTTCCTGTTCTACACTTGCCATGTCTCAAAGTGACACTGCTGTATGCTCTGGTAGCACAGGCTCTCTTTGAGAAGACTATCTCAGCAGCTTGTTTTCTTCTGCAGGGTGTCTCCCTGTGTTGGCAATCTCCTAATAGGTCTGTGAGATCTGTTGCAGTCTTTGTGTGTCTGCTTTTTCTCTCCTGATTCTTGACCGTGTCTGGGGAGTTGCGTACAGTCTTGTGATAATTGCAGTCACTCTCCGTTAGAGAGCTCATACCACTTCTGAGGGCTGACGTGATATCCCAGATGAACAACTCCTATGGGGAAAGAGATAGAAAAATATATCAAATGTGTGCCAGTTACTCCCTTAAGCATTACTCGGCACTGTTAGAATACATGGCCCAGAGAGCAACCAGAGCTGGTAGGCCCATGGCAGAGCTATACCAGCTCCATGTTCACAACAACAGAGGATTGTGGGACAAAATTCACAGGATGAAGTCACATTGCATCAACAGTTTTATTGTAATTCACGATGGGCACATTAAGAGTTACCAGTTGTCCCTTATAAACATGCCATGCTTTAATGTCATTTTATATCTTAATTCTGTATTTTGTGAGCTGATTAATTAAAGGAGAATTATGAGGCGAGTGATTTCAGTAGATCGGGAAGTGAGCGAACACATACCGTCGCTCGCTCACTTCTCGATCTATCCCTGCAGAGAGCCGTGACTGTCACTCACGGCTCCCTGCAGGGATCCCCCCCCACCCCTGTCTGTTCCTCCAGCGCTGACTGGCGGAACGGACAGGGGAGGGGGCGGGTACAGCTGGCTCTGCCTCTAGATAGGCAGAGCCAGCTGTCACTCACACAGCAGGGTGGATCCAGACAGCATTATCAGGATCCGCTTCGGCGTCTCAGTATACCACGAGCTGTAGCTCGCGGTATACTGTGCTTTGGGGGACGGGAGGACGCTAGTTTGTGTCCCCCCGTTACCCTTAGGAGAACTATGGCGAAAAAAGCACTGACCCCATAGTTCTCCTTTAACAACTTCCAACTTTTTTTTATTGTTAGCCCTTAGAACCTGTTGTTAGGACAACTATTCACTGTTAAAGTCTAGGCTTCAATCCAAAACTGGAGGCTGCCAGATGCGCAAAAATTATTCTAATTTTTTTGAACCTAGTACATCTCAACCCTACCTTTGGTTTATTGAGTATGGTTCTCCTGGAATCCAACATGCCTTTAGGAAGAGGAGTATAACATCCTCCAGCACAGGATTGGGGCATCACAAGTACCAGCCAACAGCCTACTTTAAAATGGGCAACATGTCAACTATGTAGAGACCGGTGACATCACTGAGACTACAGTCTTTCCATTCTCTAGAAATTGGTGCCAACGCTAAGAACGTGGCCTATGAATTATAAAGACCGGTGATCCCACAAAGGATGGCCAAAGCTTTTTGTTTTGGACAGACTGGGGGAATAATTAAAACATCTGTTAGGTTTCTAATGGCATATGTGTGACTGTAGGGGAGACTGAGCCTAACAGGCAGTGATTGTGAATTTTTCCTACCGGAACACACAAGCACAATTATCGTAGTGTATGGAAAGGATAGTATTACTGTGTCAATGTTTTTATTGCTGTCTCTGCTTTCCCATTGACAACTGCACTCTTCATGTCTTGTATGGGCATCACAGGGGCAGAAGTAAAAATCCCTGCAACTAGCCCACAGACATATCAGTGTAATAAAGTTGCTATAACATGTGTAGAAGCCCTTTGAGTATCTGCAATACCTGTTTATTTCTATCTATCTATCTATCTATCTATCTATCTATCTATCTATCTGTCTGTCTGTCTGTCGGGGTGGACAAATTAATATGGAATTCAAGAGCCAGTCTGTCCAATCCAGGAGCCAGCAGGATTTTTGTAGGAGCCAGCTCCACTGACAACAGCTACAGAGAACCTCAAAGGTTAGGCTCCAGCTGTACTTTTAAAGGAGCATTGGCTACCTGGCTCCTGGGAAGTAGTGGTTGATCCTCCTTGTCATGCGCTTCCCAAAGAGCGACAACACTCAACATGAAGAATCCCATTATTATCACTGGTGCCAGTCATACCCGAGGGTTGTGTAGTTTGTAGCGCAAAGATGTACATGAGCACATTTTTGGGCATATAGCCTTCAATTGGAGAGCCACCTAATACCTAAGTTCCGTTGGCTAAAACAGAGATGCTGAAGCCAAAAAACAGTGCAAAAACATGAAAAAATAAACTCTTTACAATTGCGTGAAAACGCATATGCTGAAGTGTAAAAGGGGGCTCTAGCAAAGACGTCCTGAGTGCAGACTAAACAAAGTCCCATAACTTGATGTAGGGCAGTCACAGGAATTTGAAGAAGCATGTAGCATGGTGCCGTTCATACCTGAGGGTTGCGTTGTTTGTAGCTCAAAGATGTATATGAGCTTTATTGAGCAGAATCGCACATTTTTGGCTCCATAGCCTTCAATTGGAGAGCCTCCTAATATATAGCTTTCCATTGGCTAAAACAGAAACACTCAAGCTGCAAAAACATGGAAAGAAACCCTTTAAAATTGAATGAAAATTCTCAAACTCGTATGTAAATGGGAGCTATAGCAAAGAAGTCCTGAGTGCAGACTAAACAAAGTTCGCTATGTTCTTATAGAGGTAAGGCAGTTGCAGGAATTTGTAGGATCATGTAGCATATAAGGCTTTTATTCACGGACGTTTGCTGGGTCACAGCCCACCTTTATCAAGGCAAAGGTATTTCTATATAGGGCCGGAGTTAGGCTTTAAATGATTCGGATAGAGGAAATGTACTCCCACAGTAATTTGTAAACTGTAGAAACAAATCAATCTGGCTCAATCACAAGAACGAATGATTAAGTGAGTGCGACGCAACACCTGTTTTACATTATGCATACGGATAAGGATGATTAGTGGCTTTTGGAGCAGCAAACCTGTTACAGCTCCATTTGGCGCTGTTCTGTTGACAGCTTTACCGCAAACTGCTGTGCTATGCCTCTACTATTACATTTCTATAAAAGCCACTGGCACCCATTATTGTACATTTTGTGCATGACGGCAAAACGGTTTTGAGGTGTGCTGGAAAAGGATACTTGCTTTTTTCTTTAAACTATGATGCAGTTTCCCAGACATCGGTACAGTTCTAGGTAGCCATTTCCTTTGAATACTGAGGAAGTGATCCTGTCAACGGGCCAAAATGCATCAATTAAAAGCCAGTTTATGTAAAAGACGAAAACCGGCAACAACTGGGTTTAGGAAACTGAACAATCGGTCTTAAATGGTAGCAATTGAGTATTTATGAAAGATTGTGGATTTATCTGATTCCGAGTCTTCAGCTTAAGAGTCTGGGCTCAGAGTGTAACATATGTTGCCCTGTCAGCCTCCTGACCTTACACAATCTCTCCGCTCTTAACATGTCATTACAGTATCAAATAACATGTGGTTAAGAGATATGTAAGCAACAGCAAAGCTTTGTTATTTGATAGTGTTATGCAATCTCAGAAGCTGGGGGACAGTGTCAGACTTAAAGTTTCTATTAAAATAAAATATGCAATAAAAGGGCCCCTGCACTTTAAAAAGCCTTGCTCATTGGATTAAAAATGAACTTACTTTAAATCATATTTCTGTAGGCCAAGCATGGCTTCCATAAAGCCTAGCCAGAAAACTGCCATATAAAGAGATCTGCCCCATCCTGCGCAGAATCCAA